AGAGCAACAGCAGTATAATGTGATAATGCAGTATATTGCATGCACTATTCCCTGGACTTGACTATACAAATGTGCACTTGTGGGTAACATAACTATCTTCCTGCTGGGCCACTTCTCCTCTTTTTAATTTTTGTTTTATTTTGAAGGAACTTTGCATTTGCAAATTTCTTGCCTAGTGGGGGAAAAAATCCCACAGAGGAGCAAATATCATCACACAAGGTAAGTTCCTGGCATCATGGCACAATCAGGGAGTATTGACAGTCTTTGCTCAACAATAGCTTTTGACGGCTTCATTGCAGAGAGATGGTGGACCAGCCACAATATAATTGGATAAGGATTGTGACTTTGGGTCTCTCCATGGTGCTGGTTCTCCACTTCTTTGTGATAATGTCCTTTGTCTACTCATGCAGATGCATAGAGTGAGGAATTATTTGAATCCTAACTCCGTACATCTTAAGCAGACTATGGTTCAGAAAAGCTCTTGCTACTACACATTTATATCAAAAGTTGTCTTCTACTGGACTACGTTTCAGTCCTTGGGGCATATTCTCAAGGCTGTAATTTTCTTTGTTTTGTGGCATGACCATACATGTATCAGCATTATACAACAGGGATAGTCCTACAGTTTGGTAGATGAGATCTCCCCGCCCAATCAGACAGTACATGCTGATGGGTGGGGAATATGACTGAGGCACTGAAAAACAGAATTGTGCATGTCTTGTTGCCTTAACTATGCCCTCTCAGTTGACCTGCTGCCCTGAAATTAAGGTATTGCCAGTGATTAACTAATATTCAATATATTTAATAGGTGGAATTGTGGGTCTGGGGTCTTCTTCTTCATCCAAGACAACAAAATGTCTTGGCCTGCCCTTGTCATACAAAAAGCAATAGGTTGTCAAGGCATATCATCCAAGGTTGAAAAAACAAAACAAAAGGAAGTATGTGTGTGGAGGTGGTGACACCACTGAGGCACAAGCTGTGCATAATGGAAGAAGTGAAGGAGAAATCTATCTTTAAAAAGCAGATAATAAATTATTCAAGAGTAAACATGACAGCCATGGAGCAAAATACAACAAAATCCAAAATCTATAAGCAGTAATTCCTTTTGGGGTTGAATCCAAAGCATAAAATAGATTATAGAAGTTTCAGAAGCTTTACTGGCTTCTTCAGCAGGTAAAGATGTTAAAAATCATACAGGAGAGAAATGGTGATGATGTTTCACAGTCCTATACTCTCTCTAAGATGATGTCAGTTAGTTGTCACATAATAAATTATGGCTGGTTTCCTTGTTTGTTCTTACTAATTTCTCCTAATCAGACACTTGTATCCAAAGAAAGACACTTGCAGCAAACACCATCAAAGTAGTAAAATGTCATAGGTGCTAGCAGCTATAGATTTTGAACAAAGTGCTGCTGTGTTTTTCTGCTTTTGTCGGCTTCATTTTTTCATGACCTCATCTTGCAAAATAATTTTTTCTTACTCCACCCTTGAGAAAAAAACCCCCTTTTAATTCTACAGATAAGTTTCTGCTTGTTAGTACTCATCCTTTGAAAGTGAAGGGCTGCTTGGGCATCCCAGCAGGTTTATCTCTTCAGTTGTTTTGAAAATTGTATCCTTTGTATAAGTAGGTCATTACATATGAAATCTAAGCTCTTTTTTATTTTTTTATTTTTGCTGTTTAGAGCTCTTGAGACCAGTATTTTGTCAGAAGTCTGGGGGGCTAGAAAAGGAAGTGTGGTTTATATACCCCCAAGAAAGAAATTAAATAATGGGAAGTTAGTGCTTCTCTATATTGTGCAACATTGTTGGCATTTCTCTGTACTAGACTTAGCAACACAGAAGGTTTGAGTGAGGCAAAGTTATTGAAGAACGGACCTATAAAGAATAATTTACACATGTAGGTTAGCAATGCTTAGTTTTGTAGTGAAGGACATGATGCTGTGTCTATAAATTATTGGCAAGTTTTTAAATGTCTCCAAAAGTCTACAATACTGAACTGAGTCATTATACTGCAGCATTCACGATCACAGAACATTTTTTTAAAAAATGGGTCAGAAAAGACACATTTTTGCTGCTGTCATACTTACATAATTTCAAGGTTTTCCTCCTCTAGGATTCTGTGCACAAGAGTTTCTGTCTGGATACATAGCAGGCTGGGTTGCCCTGCCTCTAACATGAGCAAAGAGAGTTTATTCATGTCTGTTTCATGGAAATGGTCCAATTCTATACAGAACTAAGGCTAAACTGATACAGGGAGAGTTATGTGAATGTATCTTCCTTCATATTTTTATTCTGCTGAATTGCACACTGTATGAGCCACTTTGGGAGACAGTTTTGTCAGAAAATAATTTTTAATTTCAAAGGTAACAAAAAAAAGACAATTCAGTTTACTGTAGTGGAAGATACGAATTGTCCCATTTTAATATTATTGTACTTGACATAATAAAAAGCTTATTTTCATGGCCATTTTTTGGATGCCCATACAAATGGATGACAAATTAGTGTGTATGTACATCATGAACGAAAGTGAGGTGGTTCCAATCCCCCCCCCCCCCCCCGATGTCAGAAAGGGTGAGAGGAGGAAAAACTGCTTCCACATCAGATAGCATGAAAAATACTGTTCAACAGTATTTTAAAAATCCAACATAGCAACCAAATATATAGTATGACCCACATATCTGTGACATTTCCAGACGTTGCATGAATACATAAAATTATAAATAAGTGAACCCTATTGAAATGATGGCCCTCCGGCTTAAGAATACCACAGAGCAGAGTTTTCCACACTGTGTGTCATGACACTTTAATGTGTCGGCTGCCGTGTATAAATCATATATATATTTAAAATATACATGTAAGGTCTTCATGAGATATGTTGAGTCCTCATAAAGTTCCTTCTCACAATTTTAAAATATGTTGTAATTGTCCAGTTATGTCATTATTTAATTTTATTTATTGGTTACTTTGTTATGGTTATGCATTTACTTTTGGGATTAGGCGGGTTGTTTATTATTATTTATCTGTGTCCTCTCTAAGGGGTTGGTTAAACCTCCAGGAGCAAGTAGCTTCTGGTATGAGAGAATTGGCCATCTGCAAGGACGTTGCCCAGGGGACGCCTGGATGATTTGATGTTTTTATCCTTGTGGGAGGGTTCTCTCATGTCCCCGCATGAGGAGCTGGAGCTGATAGAGGGAGCTCATCCGCCTCTCCCCGGATTCGAACCTGCGACCTGTTGGTCTTCAGTCCTGCCGGCACAGGGGTTTAACCCACTGCGCCACTGGGGGCTCTAGCAATAGCCAATGTAACGAAGCAACCAAGTTTGGGGGGGGGGGGGTTGAATGCTCTCATTAAGGAGGCCAGACTTGGTGGAGGTGGTTGACGGGCGGAGCTGCAAGCTATGGAAGGCTGCTCTGCCCCTGCTGTGTTTGTTTTGTTTTGTTTAATGTATTATGGCATTGAATGTTTGCAATTTTTTGTTGGAAGCCACCCTGAGTCCCTTCGGGGTGATGGGGCGGAATATAAAGTTTTACTTGCTCCTGACACAACAAAATAAATAAATAAATAGGCTATTGCTACAAGTAATGACAGTGTGAATAAATTGTCAATATTTGCTTGAGATCGTGCTTGCAGTTCTGGAGGGGCTCTTAATTTTTTGCGTCTCATAGACTTAGCATGGGGATTTGGTTGTTGTTGTTCATTCATTCAGTTGTCTCCGACTCTTCGTGACCTCATGGACCAGCCCACGCCAGAGCTCCCTGTCGGCTGTCACCACCTCTACCTCCTTCAAGGTCAGTCCAGTCACTTCAAGGATGCCATCCATCCATCTTGCCCTTGGTCGGCCCCTCTTCCTTTTACCTTCCACTTTCCCCAGCATCATTGTCTTCTCTAGGCTTTGCTGTCTCCTCATGATGTGGCCAAAGTACTTCAACTTTGTCTCTAGTATCCTTCCCTCCAATGAGCAGTCGGGCTTTATTTCCTGGAGGATGGACTGGTTGGATCTTCTTGCAGTCCAAGGCACTCTCAGAACTTTCCTCCAACACCACAGCTCAAAAGCATCTATCTTCCTTCGCTCAGCCTTCCCTAAGGTCCAGCTCTCACATCCGTAGGTTACTACAGGGAATACCATGGCTTTGAGTATGAGGATCTTCGTTGCCAGTGTGATGTCTCTACTCTTCACTATTTTATCGAGATTGGACATTGCTCTCCTCCCAAGAAGTAAGTGTCTTCTGATTTCCTGGCCAGTCTGCATCTGCAGTAATCTTTGCACCTAGAAATACAGACTGTCACGGCCTGAGGTTATCCAGTTAAAATTCAAAAATCAATTCACAAACAAGACACTAAGTTTGCAAGCTTGCAGGCCTGTAATGAGGGGGGGGGGGGTTGGGGTTCAATCCCCACCCCTGAAATTTTACAGGTTAAAAAAAAACCTGGTTTACTCATGAATTTTAACTGGGGATTTGGTTATCCAGTTAAAATTCATGAGTAAACCAGGTTTATTTATTTTTTAACCTGAAAAATTTCGGGGGGAGGGGTTGAACCCCTAAACCCCCCTCCCCACAGGCCTGCAAGGTTGCAAAGTTTGTGTTTTGTTTGTTTGTTTGTTTAAAAATGCAATGCATCTGTTTGGTCTGCCCCTGACCACGACAAATAAATAAATAGCCGGCGTGGGCCCTTCCTTCCCAGCGCGCCTGACTGGCGAGGCAGGGCGCGGCCTAGGAGCCAAGGGCGCGGCGGCGCTTGTCAGAGCGTGGCGATGGATGCACGACGCGTGTCTTCCTCATTGTTTTCGTCACCCATCATGCCAGGAATAAGTTGGGGGGGGGAATAACAATAGCCTAGTCCGGGAGGGGGGCGGGAGGGAGGGAGGGGGGGAAGGACTGGCTGAGGAGGAGGCCAAAAGAAGAAGACCAGCAGAGCGAGCGCACGAGACCCTCCCTCCATCCGTCAGTCAATCCATCCTCGCGCCTTCTGAGCAAGCCCCGCCCCTCGGCGCGCGGCTCCACATCCGGGTCCTAGCCAACGCCGCAGCTGCTGCTGTTGTTGCCGCCCGCTCGGGGCTCTTTCTCTCTCTCTCTCTGTCAGAAGGCAGGGAAGAAGGGAGGGGAGAGGCGTTGTTGTCTCCCTTGGCCTACAAGGAGGAGGAGGAGGAGAGGGAGACGACGCACGCGCGCGCGCTCTTGTGAGGGAAGGAGCGCGAGCCGCCTCTGTGTGTTGTCTCCCTCCAGACACACATCAGCGAAGATGGCGGCCGTGGTCGGAGGGCGAGCCGGCTCCTTCGGCTCCTCTTCCTCGCCGGGCCTGGTCTCGGGTTACGGCGGCAACAACAACAACAGCAGCAGCAACAGCGGCGCCGACTCGCGGGCGGGAGGCGACGAGGACGACGGGCAGAACCTCTGGTAAGGAAGGCCTCTTCCTTTTCCTCCTCCCTCCTCTTCCTCCTCCATCACCACCCTTTGCCGTAGAGAAGGGACCGTTGTTGCTGCACCCACCCCTCCTCTCTCCCTCTTGAGTCTCTATCCACGGATTTAAGGCCCCCTCCGCCATGTTGCAGCTCTCCTCCTCTCCTTCCCTGGAGGGGCATCTCTCTCCACCCTCCTCAGGGCTCCCCTTTCTCGACATCTCCCTTGTCTCGCAGATCCTGTCAGGAAGAGGAGGGCAGGGCAAAGGAGATGGCAGGAAAGAGGGTCCCATCCTAATATCAAAAGCATTGCATGAATTAGAATAAAAATAGAAGGAGCGCTGGTGGATAAATATCTTTTGACCAAAAAAACGGGCAACAGCAATGGCATTGTCTGTAGCCTCCAGCAATACTTCCTCTGTACATGAGGCAGGGCATAGTGGACAAGCATACAGATGTGGAGTTGCTTGTTCTGCTCCACAGTCATACAAGGTGTGGTAATTCTTTTGGGTAGTGCCATTTTGCCAGGTTGTCTTTTGATCTGCCCACCCCACTTCTGAGTCTGTTCAGGGACTTCCAAGTTGCCCATTCTTGGTTTGGCCCTGGAGGAAGACCTTCGTGGGGGGCCATCCAGTTGGGATTTTCTGAGGGATACCCATGCTGTTGCTGGGGGGACACCAAGAGGAGTGGTAGTTCTCATAAAGCTTTTCCTTGATTTGAGTCTACTGGGAGGAGGCTGGTAGCCATGTAATGGATGGCTTTCACAGTGTTCAACATTATTTCTCTCACATTTAGCAGCTACTTCAGTAGATATCACAACAATACTTCCTTGTATTTCCCACCATCTCACAGGTCCTGCATCCTCAGCGAAGTGTCAACCCGTTCCCGGTCTAAGCTGCCTTCGGGGAAGAACGTAGTGCTGCTAGGTGAGTGGCTTCTCTTTTTGTCATAGCACCAAAGCCTTGCGGGGAGGGGGAGAGACACCTCCCCTTAAGAGCCATTCAGTCCAAGGCAGGAGTATACAATGCAAGCCCTCCTGACAGATGGCTATCTAGCCTTGGCCTAAAAACCTGCTCCGAGGCAGCATGTTATTACGCTGTCAAAACAAAACAATAGTTTTGAGAGGCAGATATTTCTTAGTGGTGGCCCCTCAGCTATGGAACTCATTTCCCAGTTGTAACAGGTAAAAGCTAAAGTCCTGGCTATGGAAGCAGGCATTTGGGGAGTAGTGCAATATGGAATGTGACATAAATGTAGCAACATGAATTGGCAACTATGGGTCTAGGCCAGGCATGGGCAAACTTCCAGGTGTTTTGGACTTCAGCTCCCACAATTCCGGTTGTTAGGAATTATGGGAGTTGAAGTCCAAAACACCTGGAGCCCCGAAGTTTGCCCATGCCTGGTTTATCTGTTTTATTTGTATTTATATGTTTTTAACTTTTTTTATTGTGCAGTGTTTTGTATCTGTTTATTTGTATTTGTAATGCGACATTGAATTTTGCCATAACTAAGCTGCTCTGAGTCCTCTTGGGGTGAGAAGAGCAGGGTAGAAATATAGTAAATTAATAATTATTATATTATATTAAGAAGAGCGGGGTAGAAATCTAGAAAATAAATAAATAGATATAATCAGGAAGTTCTTTCTAATTTGTTTTGTTGGACCCCCCCCCTCTTTCCCCTGCAATTTGAATCAATTGCTCCATGTCCTAGTACAGTGGTTCTCAACCTGTGGGTCCCCAGGTGTTTTGGCCTACAACTCCCAGAAATCCCAGCCAGTTTACCAGCTGTCAGGATTTCTAGGAGTTGAAGGCCAAAACATCTGGGGACTCACAGGTTGAGAACCACTGTCCTAGTGTCTAGAACAGTGGTTCCCAACCTATGGTCTGTGGACCACCAGTGGTTCACAAGAACTAAAATATGGTCCGCAGCTTCACCATTATTACACCGTTACAATGAGAGCGACTGGTCTCGCGAAACCCTCTTATAGTGCCAAACTTATTAAATATAGTTTTCTGTGGGCGAGCAGATGGTGACTACTGGATGGCATATGTTCTGTATCAGAAACTAGAGCTGATGTAGTCTGTCCAATGCAGTTTTCTGAATCAGCACCCCAAATAACCAAACCAAATCTAAAGTTGACTGGTTTGTAACCCGTTTGGTACTAATGTTGGAGAGTGGTCCCTGGTCAAGTGGTTCCTGGTCGAAAAAAGGTTGGGAACCACTTCTCTAGAGTAGCAGAAAACAAGCCTTCCCCCCGTCTGGTTTGTTTCCCTTTCTTCTCCCATCTTTTTACTTCTTTGTCAGAAGGATGGGCATCTTCTTACACAGTCACTCCAGATTAGAGTGGATGGGGGTACGTGATTGTATAGGTCTTGTAGGTTGTATTGAAGGAGGAAGGGATAGCAGGAGAGATGACTTCATGGCTCTTTTTCTGTGCTCAGCTCCATAGAATGGAATAAACGTTTGGATATAAATGTGCCAATGTATTGGCTGTCTACCATCTGTCAGGGCTTTTGAGCACCCCTTTAGCAGCCTCTCCACTGTGTTGAATGGTGTACTAAGGAGTGAGTGGGTATCTGCAGTGGACTTGGAGAGGGGGCTTATATTATATTCCACAAGGCCTGAAGGGATTGCCAGGATACTGTAAAACAAAGAGGCTTGCCAATAATCCACTCCCAGCTATGAAAAATGCATTTTTAATGTTAAATAGCTTGGGGGGAAAGGTGCGACATATAAAAGCGAACCCCTTATACTACATAAAAAAGTTAGGAAAAAAAAACAGTTTTGTGATTAAGGGCCAGGAGACTACTTTGCTAACTCTTGGGCTGGGTGGGTAACCTCTGCCTGTGAGACCTGCCTGTGAGCACTGTCACGTTGTGTCAGCAGCCAGCCTTTCACTGACTTGCATTATGCTATGATGTCTCCACCCAGGAGATAAAGTTAGCTCCTCCTTTGCTTTTTTCTTGTCTTATTATTTGACAGTACAGATGATGCTATCATTGAAGAGAAACTGAGATTTAAATGTGTTTAGGTGCATCTGCATCAACTGGCAAGTGTTAGTACAGTGTCTCACAACCACCTGGCATACTTTGTATCTTGTACTGAATTGTGATCTGTACTCAGGTTCTGTTTTGCTTTTGGTATATAGTATATAAAATATGCTTCCCTAACTATGTTTTTGATCATATATGATCAGCTACAGTGTTCTATCAAGATTATTTCGCAGAATGGGAACTAAGGATGTACTAGGAAATAGACTCAGTCATGGGTAATACTTCTGTTAGCTGTTTCAAACATCTTTTGGCCTAGTTATTGCCAAGAGACGTGCATTGGGGTTTTCACTTTTTACAGTGAAATTGACTATAAAGCTGCATGTGAAACACACTTAATATCTTCTGTTTTGTCAGCAGTTTTACAATATGAAATACTTGTAAACAAGCAGCTTGGCCTTATACTTGACATGGGAATATTAAAATATTTCCTGTACTGTTTTATGGAAATAGAACATGACGTTTCAAGGAGATGAAAATAAGCTTTGGAATGAGGACTGATGCAGATAGTATTTTAGAAGAAAATGGTGGACAGATTGGAAGGCAGACACAGAAATTTGTCAAAGACAAACAATACATCTTTTACTTATTTGTTTATTTTATTAATCTGCCTTTATTTTAGTGCTAGGATTGCATATAAGGTGAATGAAAGGAGCTCATCAGTTGAATGAACAATAAAAGAATTTATAATATTAAAACAACATTAGATTGAAGCAATTTTAAAACATTTAAAATAACAGGAAATGATTATCACCTTTCTGCAAGCGCTGCTTAATTGCAAAATAGCTGTCTGAATGAAAAAGGTCCTTTCCTGTTGGAAAGGGGCAGATAGAGGAGCTGTTTAGCCTCTCATGAAAGGGAATTCCAGAGCTGCCAGTAGCCAGCAAGTTGTTCCTCTTTGTGTCTTCATCAGACTTGCCTTTGAGGATAGTAAGACAAAAAGAAGACCTTTCTTGAAAATCTCAAGAGTCAGGTTAATTCATAAACAGTGAAGTGCCAGGCTGAATCATATCAGTCTATCAGTCATTATTATTAATGTTGTTTTTATTTTTACGCCATTTTTTCCAATTAACATAGAATTAAATAATATAATTGTTAAAAACAAATAAACCAACTGTTTAAAAAACTTCCTGATACCATGCAGCATCCCTTTGCCCATTCTTAAAAACTTACTGCTTTAAAAGCTTTTCTAAATATAAATGTTTTACTCTGTTTAGAATGACAACAAAGTGGGAGGGGGTTCTGAGAGTTTCCAGGGCCCAGGGGCAGCCACTGAAAAGGCCTTCTCTCACAACTCTACCAACTGTGCTTGCGGTTGTAGTGAACTGAGAGAAGGGCCTCTTCAGAGGATTTCTGAGCTAGAACAGGATCATACAGGGAGGCATGATCTGCCGAACAGTTTGGACCTTGAACCATAAAGGAATTTATATGCCATAACCAGCACTTTGAATTATAGCAGTTTGAAATCACTTTCATTTCCATGGCTCCTTCCTATGGAATCTTGGCAAAAATCATAGAGTTCTCTAGTATAGTTACCTGAAGTATAGTGGAGAGCTCTCTAGCAGAGACTTTGAAGCATCTTATGAAACTACAAATCCCAGGATTTTGCTATTTTGCAATATATATATGTGTGTGTGTGTGTGTGTTCATAGTAAGCTTTAAAAAACCTCTGTTTTTCTCCAGCATAAAGCTGCAGCTAACTAACAATTACCTTAAAGTTAGCCTAAATAAATTCACTCGGAGCGACTTCTGGATACACTTTTCTGGGACTGCAGTCTACTCCTACAAGGGTCTTTTTTGTGGGAGAAGATAGAGGATTTCTGAAGGATAAAATAACAAATATTTGGTGTGATTTTCTTAGATAATGTTACTAATTTCAAAGATCTCCAACAATGACTTAACAGGAGTTCAAATGTAACTTGCAAACTGGTCATAATGGTAAATAGTTCTAGCATTTGAATGAAGATTACATTTTTGTTATCATATTTGTGACCATTAATAGGCATATTCTCATGAATTAAATTACTTAAACGTATTGAGTGTTTGTGATAGACTTTCATTACTTCATACCAGCTAATCCTATGTCATACTCCCTGAGGTTCTGAGCAACTGTACTTTTGTATGTTCCTCCTCAAAACTATGTTTAAAAAATGTCTGTGGGAAATACTGTAGTTGACTTTTTCTGTAAATAATTTTGTACTACTTGATATTCATTAAAACCCTATGGGAAAGAAGGAATTTAAATGTGTTGGTACAGTCAAAACAGAAGCAAGAATCAGGGAGGCCATCCCAACCTATTCTTTGCAGTTCAATTAAACCAATGGTTCTTAACCTGTGGGTTGCGGACCACCAGTGGGCTGCAAGGATGAAAATCTGGTCTGCGAGCCTCCTTCCTCTTTATTTATTTAATTTATTTGATTTCTGTTGCTTTCATGCTGCCTGCCACTTCTTCCCTGTTTCTGACCATGGCATATGTTCTGTATCAGAAACTAGAGCTGATGTGGTCTATCCTATGCCATTTTTTGAATCAGCACCCTAAACCAAATCTAAAGTTGACCAAAAACTGATTTGTAACCCTTTTGGTACTAATGTTGGAGAGTGGTCCCTGGTCAAAATGGCGCCTGGTCAGGTGGTCCCTGGTCAAAAAAAGGTTGGGAACCACTGGATCAAAAAAACATATATGGTGAAAATACCTTTGAGACCTCACTTAAATTGGTTCTTAATCGTATTAAAAAGAAATTGACTTTGTCATCATAGTTAGCATTTCTATCAGTGTAACATGCTTGGAAGAGATCTGATAACAACATGGAGACCCATAGCACATTTCTAGTTCCCTTTAGCTATAGCTGTGATGTGTAACAGAGCTCTGTCTATAC